AACTACAAGAGACCACCTCCTACCCCACTAGTTTATCCCCCATAATGTTCTCTGACCCAAGAAGATGCCTGAATTGGTTTTGCTAATGTATAAGGATCCGGGTACCTTTAAGGGAACAGTTCAAAGTGGGAGGTTGAAGGCCACTTATGGACTATTGAATAAGCTCCTCTATTGCAATCTTTCACCAAGAGGTGCAGAGAAGAAACCAAATGTAGAGAAGTTGAACCTTGTGGATGCAGTCGTGTCAGGGAAGACAATAGACTTTGCTCTTCTCATTTGGCAAGAAATAAAAGAGTTTGCTGAGACACAGAAGCCCATCATCAAGCTGCCATTCGGGAGCTTGATAACCCGGATGTGAATGCCTAAAGTCAAGGGCTATGCTTTCGACAAGATCACGCCCCCAGAACTTGGAGCCATTGGCAGGACTAGCAAGATGAAAAGAAAGGCAATGAGTAGGGGGAAGCGTGCCAAGACCATGGGTACTAGTTTTGAGACACCCGGTGCATCTTCATCTGCTGGGCCACCCACTGTTGCACCTGAACATTCGATTCCCCAGTGCCTCGACGCACTAGAGGCTATGGTGCATGGGATTAAGGCGATGATGAAAGAATTTTTTAAGCATATTTTTCCTGGGAGGCCTATCCCAGGAGGATCCTCACCACCTGCTGCTGCTCCTTCTGCATCTAGGCCCTCCACTTCTACAGTGGTTGAGGAGAGGAGCAAATCAGAAAACCAGCCAAACCGTACCGGTACGTTGAGGCTATTGGAGTTCAGCGTACCAATACGCTTTGCTTGATCTGCCCAAATGCTCTGCAACTCAGATCTGCTACTTTGAAGGTCCCACCAAGACATTCTCCTGCAACTCTCTGACACGCCCAACACTCAGAACACCCCTTGGGACACCTATCTTGGACTTTTGGAAACTTGGCTATCAATGAGGAGAGAGAAAAGAAGAAGAGCTGGGTGTGCAGACAAGCTCTTCAACCCCTCTGTCCAGCCTATTCCTCCTGCACCCCTACAGATGGAGATCACTTCTAGAGTCTAGGGCATCATTCCATGCACATTTTTGGGAGGAAAAGACTCCATTATTCAGCATTCTACATTACACAGAGATATAGAGAGAGAAGGTCTGGTAGAAGATGATGAATAGTGTCTAGTGAGAGAAAATTGAGATTTTTGTATTTCTTTCACTACATTTTCTTGTAATCTCTGGTATGAATCCTGAGAACTTCATTTAATGCTATTAATGTTGTTTTCTTTAAAGTTTAATGCACTTTTAAAGTTTTCACCATTAATGTATCAAACTTCTTCATTTTCTTAGTTTTCTAATGGGTATTCAACATACTCTCTTATAGCTTATGTTTTCTTGTATCTAGTTGCTCTAGAATTTCATATATTTGCAATGCATTTTCATTACATTGTCAATTTTATTTTAAGCATGAGTAGTTAAATCTCTTAGTTGGCAAAACCAAGGGGAACCTCCATTTGGGTATACTATTTCAACTCATTCTCCTCCCTTCCTTTAGAGTCCAATGGTTCGATTTGACTGGGTTGAGGGTGGATAACTTAGTGAGTCTTTGATATTTCGTAGGCCTAGTCACGGTTTATGTTTAGATACTCACCAATTTTATCCCTAACTTCCCATGAATCAATCGTTCATTCATGCTCTATTGGAGGAGGGTTTCGAGTTGAGATGGTATTCCTATTTGAGTGACCTCTTGGATTTGCCAACATTTGTTTCTCATCTTATTAGCATCAAAACAAACTTCACCAAACAATTTCCAACAACCAAAGATTTTACACTTTCTTTTTCCCAAAATCATCTTCCCCTCAGTTTACTTCCTTCTCTGTAGAAACGACATTGGAATACCACCAAGTAAAACATGACCCACAAAAGTCTCCTTGCGCTTGGAGAGCACTTTTGTACACACACACACATTTTTGTGCATTTACACATCACATTACCATCATTTCATTTTACCTCATCTCCTTGCTCTTTCTTTTGACATCACCCATAGGAGAGTGACACTCCCCTTCATCCATAAACTATACATGCTAAAATGTGATGTTTATAGGTTAAGCAACTACAAGGAATTGTGTCAAGCATTGTGCAATGTGGGATTTGACACCAATCCCACATTGGTTGAGGAAGAAGTTCTAAATGGGCATATATAGGCCAAATTTTCTCTATGGGATTGGGCCCCAAGGGGTACCACAATTTTATGAGCAAAATGAGCGTCTACATGTCTTCAGTTCTACCATACATGCGCTCGCCGCCTTGCCACGATCTAGGGTGTGGTTTAGACCAAGTCATATCTTTTTGAAGAAAATTTATTTAATTAATTGGGCGTGAATTTCTTAATCCGGAATTAAATTTTAGTACCCGTTATGTTTGAATTCGTATTGGTTTGGAGTGTATCTTCTTTCCAATCCGAAATTTTGAGTTGTATATGTTCATAGAGAACAGTTCACAAGTGATGTCTTTTGGATTGTGTCTTTTTGTATGGTGGATGTCCAGAACCATAATTATCAAAACCAGACTGATCATCGAACCGGTAGATGGACCGGTCAGTGGTTCACTAGTTCAACCAATGAGTTAATTGGTCGGACCGGTCATATAATAAAAAATTAAAAAATTAAAAAACATAATAATTTAATTAAAAAAATGTGAAGAATATATTTTTCTAGAACAAAAAAATTAACAAAGCATAAAATCCTTACATTACAATACAAATCTCAATCACATAACAATTTAAATTCCTAATTAACTTGGGAATTTCATTAAACAGCCCTCAATAGGACCAATGCCCATTGCCTCAAATAGGACCAATACCCACTACTACTCATTGGATCACACTTATCTTTTGTCTTCCATATAAGTTACAACCCCTTTCTTTTCTATCTTTCCATCGAGTATATGTAGTGTGTGTGTGTGTGTGTGTGATAATGAGACAAAGATATTGAGAAAGAGTGAAATAAAACAACGATGAAGAAGAGAAGACGAAGTTGAGCTGCAAAGAAGGGAGTTCGGGACTCGAGTTCCAGAGAAGGGAGAGTTTGAGCTGAGCTACTAGTTTATGCATGTGCATATGCGTTGTCTAGACTGGAGAAGAGAAGATAAAGCTGCCTAAGGCTAAATTTGCCCCCTTTTTTTATTATTATATATGAGGAGTTATTTGAACCGCCTAGGTTATATGAACCTCCCGGTTCACTGGTTTTCACCGAAAACCGGTTGGTTTTATGGTTCTTTAACGGTTCAACAGCTCAAGCAGTCTGTTAAACAAATCAAACCGATGTAAGGCCCAGTTCATGTCTGGCCAGTCCGACCAGTCAATCTGGTTTGATTTTGATAACACTGTCTGGAAAAGTCACTAAACAAATACCCAGACTCTCATTACCATTTTGCATCAATTCATCAGTCTATTTTTCAGAGTTAAGGTAGACATTAGTGTATTACATTTCGGTATTAAGGCAGTCTGTATTTGGAGATTACACAACATAATTTATGGTTTACTGGACGAATAGATTGACATGCTACTTTTACTTGTGCGAAGATCATTGTAACATGGAAGGCAGATGCTTTGATTTCCATAAACACTATATGTGGAGGCAAAATATGTCTTAAGGATATAGTGCTAAACATTAATCTTGATATACTTAAAGTTCAATAACAGTTCATCATCTGCAAAACGGGTTAATATTTATATTGGTTAAACAAACAGTTATGTGTAATTGTTTCGTTAAGATTATTGTAACTGTTTCGTTAATTCTTTTCTAACAGTTTCAGTATTCTGTATTACTATTTCGCAATAGTCTGTTATTGTTTTATTCTAAATTATACAATACAAATCAGAAATTTCAGTAAGTAATTTTACTATATTTGGAATATCTCAAACAACAATTTTGACTTAACTTTCAATTTGAATCTAAATTTGAGTCAGGAGTAGAGATGCTCTTAAATAAGTTAAAGATTCAACATGTTTGCATAATATTTTTGAGAGAGAATTATGCATAAACTCTTTGAGATTTGTTATTTAATTACTTAATTTCCCTAATATTTGAAATATTACATACAGACCCTCTGAAATTTATATACAAATAACATTTAGATCCCTGTTGCCAATAACCACTAATAAATTATACTCAGGCTCCTTAAAATTTTTAGGTATGTAATATTTAGACTTATCAAATTTAAAATATTAGATTTAAATCAAAAATAGAATATAAAACATTTTAAATTTTACAACTAAAATTTATGTTTTATTATATCATTTAATGAAATAAAATTAAAAATACAAATTTAATTTTTTCTTTCAAAAATCATAATTAGTATACAATTATATTATCTATTAGAATAAATCAAAAAAATCAAATAAGAGGTCAAATCGTAATATATGCAATATATTTTATCTTTAATTTCAATAATTCAGTTGTTTAATAAATATATTTAGTTTTGTAACTAATAAGTGATTTAAATGTAATATTTTAAATTTGAGGGATTTAAATATTATATTTACAAACTTTAGGAATTGTGGGTATAATTTACTAATAGATTTACTAATTTGGACAAGTTTAAGTATTGCACGTGTATAAATCTCAAAAGATGTATATAATATTTTAAATATTAGAGGTATAAAAACATATCTAATCATGACTCAAATTTAAATTAATATTTAAGTCAAAAGTTAAATTTGATATAAAAGATTTCAATAGATAAACTCAAATTTAAAGAATCAGAGACCCAAATTTAAAAGGGAGTAAGAATGATCATTAGATCTTTAAAAGATGATAAAATTTCACAATTAAAAATTTGAGTAAAAAAATATTTTTTTTTTGACTTGATATAAGTTAGAGTAAGTTTTTTAATTTTTTTATTCTAAATTTGATTAAGCGTCGGAGATGGTCCGATTGTAATCTTGCTAACTTTGGCAATTCACTTCTATTAAACTCACCAAAAGGCCAACACTTTCCTCCCTCCCCCCACCCCCGTCTGTGCCTCGCCTCTACCCTCTCCCCTCTCCCCTCTCCCCTCTCCTAAACGCGCACACACTAATACAGGTATGCAGCTTCTATCGTTGATGCCTACTTGCAAGTTCAGGGCCTATTCCCTGTCAGCAAAGGTTCATCTCTCTCTTTCTCTCTCTACATATATATGTGCGTGTGCGTCTGTGTTTTGGGGGTGGGGGTTAGGGACGATTATCCATGTTTTTGTGTGGGAGAGGGGGTATGTGTTCGTCAGCATTACAGGATGCTGTTACTTTGTCACATGTTTGTAATTTTAAGGATTTTGAAAAGGGAAATATGAAGCGAGGAGAAGGACAAAGCCCAGTTGGGGAAAGGCAAAAACAAGTGAGGTTTCTTAAAAGCTGGGCTTCACCTCTAATGGCTGCACTTGTAGCCTTATCTCCCGTCTTAAATCCGCCAGGTACACACCTCTCAGTCAGCTTTTATTCTTCACCTCCTAAAATTCAAATGCCCTTGATTTTTCGTCAAAATACCGGAATGCCATTTGGAACACTTCCCAACGTATATTACATGCTAATTCCTCATGCAATTCTATTTAATTAGTAGGAGATCGTAATGTGGCGTATATGAATGGAAAGATCATAAGCAGGTATTGATTCAGGATTTGGGAGTATATTTAGAAAAAAATTGAAGAAAAAAAATAAATTGGGGCTCCGACCTCCTTGAATTTTTAATAACCATTTTATAAATTTCAAACTAAGCTTTTTCAAATTGTAATGGAATAATTGTCCCTACGGTCCTCACCTAGATCCATAAATAATTGTGATGTGGAATAATCTTTGGTCTTTGTGATAGATGAAGTTCAAATCTGCAAAAGCAGAGTCAGCAAATGGGTCAGTAAACATTATCCAATATTTGCAATATCATAACGATTTGCTTCTAAGTTTGAGGCTAAATAACGAGTGTGCGAATTTACACATACCGTTAGAAACATATTTTTGGTATTTAAGTACGGTTTTAGCAATATCTGTGGATCAATTTAATCAAATTCAAGTTTGGAATTGGACAATAGGTACAAAGAGGTAATGGATTTGAGTTTATTGAACATTTTCAAATGTGGAAATTAGTGTCGTTTGATCAACTATCGGCACAAATTCTTGGAATGATGCCTTTATCCCTGGTTGAACCTGCTTTTATGCTCTGCCTCACTTGGTTTCAAGCTATGGCTGTGTTCCTGTTGGTTATGAGCATAGCATCTCACTTGATTCAGCTACTTATTGTGACATGCTACCTTTTTAAATAATCAGGTATCACAGATCAAAATATTTGTACAGAAAGTATCTGACATTAAATTAACTCCTGGTTAAAAAAAGTAATTTGGGCTTATTTGATTGCTCATCACACAAGGAAATTGGTAGATGATGATAGGTCCCAACACAGATGTTCAAAGGATATGTTGATTTCTCTTCGGGTGAGAAAGTACCACACGGTTTGGATAATAAGATTTCTGATGCCTTTTTATTGATACCTTAGGCTGCTTAAATAAGCAAAGCCACGTACGGAAAACTCGAATCAAAAGGAGAACTGATAGCTACTACTTGAAATTCAAAGACACGTAAAAACAGAACATATAAAAATAGAACATAACTACGGAAATAAAAGTGCCGTAAAACTCGTAACTACAAGAGACCCCGGTCCACCCCAGCGTAACCTTCTCTTTCTTCACGTGCCCATAACCTCTGCTAAACTCTCGACTGAGCGACCCGACTGTACGACCCAGTCCACTGCCAACTTACCCCAAATATTTGGGATTCGGTTTATGGCCCCTTATAGAACGTCTTGGCTTATCAATACCTCCCCCATCAAGTGGATCCTTGTCCTCAAGGTCCATATTCGGAAACATCTCCCGTAACGTCTTGGTTGGCTCCCACGCCACGTTGCCTCCTTGGCTGGAAGGTGCTTCCATTGTACTAAGCTTTCTTCGTTCAGTTGGGTTCCTTGCTTGACCCAACGGTAGTCTAAAATAGTATGTGGCTCCAATATGACTATCCCTTCATCGTTGAATGGTGGTAATTCGGCCTGTGGTGTATCAGCATCGCCCCCGTTGCTTTGGAATCGTTTGAGTAATGACACGTGAAACACCGGGTGAATGCGCGTGCCTTCTGGTAATTGCAACTTGTATGCTACAGGCCCAATCTGCTCTCGAATCTGGTAGGGTCCATAAAAACGGCTGGCTAGTTTTTGATGTACCCGTTTGAACGGTATGGGTGTAGCTTCAAAAGTACCTATTCGCCGACATCGAACAAAGTGTCCTTTCACTTTTTATCTGCCATCTGCTTCATTCTGTTCACCAATCTTTCTAAGTTGACCTTCAGTTGCCGTAGCAGTTCATCTCGGTTCATGAGTTGCTGATCAACTTCATGGACTGGTGAAAGCCCGTCTTTGTACGTCGGAATGGGGGTTGGCAATCTTCCGTACAGCGCCTGAAAAAGGGGTCATCCCTGTCGAAAAATGGTATGTCGTATTATACCAATGTTCCGCCCAAGGTAAATAGCAGCTCCATTTTCGTGGCCACTGATGAACGAAACACCGAAGATACTGTTTGACGCAGCGATTGATGACTTTCGTCCATCCGTCTGCGTGTGGTACGCGGAACTGAGCTGTAGTTTGGTGCTCGACACCTTGAAAAATTCTTTCCAGAAGTTACTGATGAAAATTGGGTCTCAATCACTAATAATTGATTTGGGCATGCCGTGAAGCTTGATGATGCCTTCCACAAATTTTTCTGCTACAGTTTTTGCAGTAAAAGGATGGCTTAGAGTATGGAAATGGGCGGACTTACTAAGCCTGTTGACAACCACCATGATGGTGTCTTTTCCTCGCCAAACCGGTAAGCCTTCAAGAAAGTCTAAGGTGATGTCGTCCCATACTTGGCACGGAATTGGCAGTGGTTGAAGAAGCCCAGCTAGAGCTAATGTCTCGGCTTTTATTTTCTGGCATACCTCGCATCCCTTGACGTAGTCTTGCACTGATCTATGCATCCCAGGCGAATAAAACTGATGTTCAAAAGATATATTGATTTCTATTTGGGTGAGAAAGTACCACACGGTTTGGACAATAAGATTTCTGATGCCTTTTTATTGATAACCTTGGGCTACTTAATTAAGCAAAGCCACGTACAGAAAACCCGAATCAAAAGGAGAACTGATAGCTACTACTTCAAATTCAAACACACGTAAAAACATAACATAACTACGGAAATAAAAGTGCTGTAAAACTCGTAACTACAAGAGACCCAGTCCACCCTAGCGTAACCTTCTCTTTCTTTACGTGCCCATAACCTCCGCTAAACTCTCGACTGCACGACCCAGTCCACTGCCAGCTTATCCCAAATATTTGTGATGGGATTCTTCTGAAAAGCCCTATGATGAAGACACGTGTCCTCGGATTTTCTGGAACAGTGTTGCTCGGATTTTAAGCACCATCGGCAAAGAGTGTCCTCTCCCCCGAGGTACCTCTCATATAGGATCATGCATTCGGTGTATTATACAACAACACGTGTCCTCGGTCACCCGTGTACCTCGGAAACATACCACCCTCGGTCCCCGAGATGACCCTTTCCTCGGTGCCGAGAGTCACTCCGTCCTGGACGCTTCCTCTACTCCCGGATAAAGCTACTGACGTACGGGTCATCAGCCTATGCCAGTCTAGACTATTCATCATGACCTCGTCTTACACAAGTAATGTCAGAACATACCGGAATACAGTAATCACAGCCAGTAACGGATGGACGTGTGGCAAATGATGTCACATCAAAGACAGACAAACGGCACGCCGTTACTGACACATGGCTTGGGAAAGCAAACAATTAATTGCACCCTTCTGTTGACGAGACCGCATTCAATGCGGTAAGGTTCGGATATGAAAGGCAATAAATGTTCCTATTACAGAACATTTATTGCGTCCTTCCCGAAAGGAGCATATTGTACCGTCGGCGTCCCGACGACTCAGCATTGATTGCTCGGGACCCCGAGCAGTCAATTAGAGAAGACATTCCTCATCAAATCAATACGCACGCTACCTGTGCCTGATGATCACCTACTGACCACACTGACAGCAATCATGAGCTTTTAAGGTATAAATACTCCTCCCAAAAGGCAAAGCGGGTATGCACTCACAAACTCTCTACTACAATAGAGGTTTTCTCAGTGTTTTCTTCTTCCTCTCTCTCATTCAAAGACTGACTAGACCGTCGGAGGGGATACGCCGGAACACACTCCGGCACCCTTCTAACTTGTTCCTCTTTATTCCAGGAAAACCTTTCACACTTACAGGATCGTTCTTCCTTTCCCAGGATCTTCTTTTGCCGTTCCAGGTTGCCACCGTATCTTGCAGGCTGTTTCAAGCAGCGTGTTTGGCCACCCAACCGGCTCACTCAAAGTTCACCAGGGGAGAGATCTGTTCCAAATATTTTTTATATTGTGCAAGATCTTGCACGCACAATCTGGCGCCGTCTGTGGGAAACGAGTAGTTTTCCTAATCTTTTCTCTATAAAGAACAGTGACCATGGTGAACACCAGACAGAAAGGGAAAGGACCCCACCAAAGGAGTCATGAGTTGCAAGCTCCCTGCCATCACGGAGGGAGGGATCGCACCAGTACGATTAAAAGTGCCTCTACTCGGTCAAGGGGGGTAACCCCTCAAACCAGTATGGGGATCAGGTCAGGAGGATCAGCCCCCTTGGCCCGTCAGCTGGCAGAGGTGATTGAAGAGAAATTTGGCGATAGATTACGTCAGCTGGAGAAGGACAATGTAAACGTCCTTAGCCGGCTCGACGAGTTTGCCGCCTCAGGCGGAGGGTCGAGGGATTCATTCCTTTCCCGAGGACTCCCCGTCCATGAGGCGGAGACGAAGGATCTAAGAAACCACCTGGATCACAAAGCAGAAAGCTCCAGGGCCCCGAAGCGACCCAGAGCCGGCGAATGTCATCTTGACAACCATTCCAGGAAAGCAAGGCCATTGGCCCTGGACGACCTCCGGCGAGGTTTATCCAGACGGAGGAAGGGAGATGAATCCGAGGAGGACTCAACCCAATCTACACGACGCCCAGGAAACGAGGGGCTTACCGACGAACCCAGGGACTTCAGGAGGCATCCCGTAAGGGAAGAAGTAGATCTCAGAGCCCGATTAGACTCCAGAAGAAAGGGTAAGACTGTCCAGGACGAGCCCGAGGACGAAGTCATGCAAACACCCTTCACGAGGGAAATCAGTGAGATGGATGTCTCAAGAAAGTTCGTCGTGCCACGGTTCAAAACCTATGATGGGCGGTCCGATCCCGAAGCCCATATCAGACAATATAAGCAGATGATGTCCCTCTATCATTCGGACCAACGGTTTCTATGCCGGGTGTTCCCTATGAGCTTGGGGGACTCTGCGATGAGGTGGTTCGAGACGCTTCCCCCAAACAGTATTGGGTCCTGGAAAGAATTGACAAGGCAGTTCCTGACCCGATTCATCACGGGGAGTAAGCGCCCCAAGGACATTGGATCATTGTTGACCCTCAGACGGAGGGAATCCGAGACTCTTCGCCAGTACGCCATCCG